TCCTCCTCCTCCTCCTCCTCCTCCTCCTCCTCTTCTTCTTCCTCTTCTTCCTCTTCTTCCTCTTCTTCCTCTTCTTCCTCTTCTGCGCGGTGTCTGAACTCGACTTGCGGAGGATTGGAGCTGAATAAGATCTCGACCATCCAATGCATAGTGAACAACAATGCAAAGGTTGTACAGACTCTTGACGAGATCCTCCAGTGCCGGTGCTCCGAAGATGGGTACCAGCTAGCAATCCTTTTTGTGGTGATTCTCAAAGTCCTAGGCTGGTATGCGACAATCATTCGACCGCTCCTAGGTGTGGAGGCGCACAGTCCGAGAGCGGGAGAGGGGACGACGGGGCGTACCGAATCCCTCGTGGAGACTCAGCTTTTCTCCTCATCCTATATGGACTCTGGTCAGCAGATCTCGCCCAAAATCACCATGGGGCCCCCTCTCGCGTACGGGAGGGAAGGCGAGGGCAAGACTCGCATGGCGGCGCAGCTGATTCTCAGCCAGCTGCATCGCGTCCAGCGGCTCGTAAATATCCTATGCCACCGTTTCAAACTCCACAGCAACCGTGAACAGAACCCAGCCTGGAACTCCAGCACGGCGTCCACTGCCACCGAGCCCGAAGAACCTGCTGACATCGAGCATCTCTATCCTTTCTCAAGTCTTGTATTTGACCAGATCGAGAAGGATGTGCGCGGGCGTCTCCGATCTCTTTCCACCGAGCTCCTAGAGATGCTACGCTACTAGCGGTTATTTCTCCCTCAATCTCATACACACTTCCAGGATTCGTGGTTGTGGCTGTAATCCGGTTACGCGATCCAGTGCTTATTCATCTATGCGGCTTTCTTACAGAAATGTCCGTTAGTTAGGTCAACGATAATAACCAATCACCAAGCAATCAACGAACTAACCTCGGGCTCGCCCGCTTGAGCTTCCAAGTCCGTTGGGAATATTCTCTGGCAATCTGACTCAACTGCAAAGAACTGTCTTAAAGCCTCAGGAACAAGTCAGATAATGTTGACTCAATATATTAGTGGTCTGGTCCAGTAACCGCGATATGGGTAACGTAATCGGTAAGCGAGCTGGCAGCCGTATATTGCATAGGCCTAGGAATGATTGCGGTCCCGGTCCTGAAATTTAGGACCAGAACAGGACTATAAGATCTTTGGTCTTTACTTATATTACCTAGAAGTGTATTATAGTCCTCTGCAGTTCTAAACAGATTTTATTTTAAAAAACTATTTTTATATGAGTATACTAAAATCTTTTTTTTATTTATATAAATATAAATATTGTTTATAATATCTTATAAATTTAAAACAACAGTTTTATTTTATTACAAAATATTTTTTATTAAGTTTTTAATATATCATACTATTTCTTTAGCTTGATACTCCATATAATAGTAAAACGGTTACCCAGCAGCCAAAAACAGCTATACTTAACGCCGCTTTCTAAGTCTAACTAATACTTCGAGATTCTTAGTATTATATACTATATTTGCATGCCACCAGGCTTGTGATGGTACGGTCGATATAACGAAGATCTAATTAATATGATTAATTTCTTAATAGTTGAGATAAAAGAAGGTTCGGGAGATCAAAACCACTAAAAAATATTCGTTAGACAGAAACATACGGCAGAATAATTAATATCTATAAAATCTACTACAGATACTATCGTCTTAAGACTTGGCATCCACGCCAGCTAAATATATAAGAAATATTATTAACAATTTAATAGAAGGTTCGAAGATATAAAATTAGAAAGACAGTTTAAAACTATCTAAATATACAAAGCAAAAATACTATTACAAAAAAAAAAAACGAAGTAAAAAAAACAAACAAATAAATAAATAAATAAACGGTTAAACATATCCGAAGATATATATTTATAGTCTTAAACTAATTTGTTTACGGCGATATTTTTAGCGCGAATCTATTTATTATATTAAAGTTTAAATTTCTTCTAATATATAGAATACTAAGTAATAAGAATACGGTGACGTTTATATAGAATAGTTTGCTTATTTAAAATAATAAAAACTTTTCAGTAATTGTTTTAATCATAAAAATATTTATCTTTAATATACGAAAATTCGGAAAGAATACAGCTAACTATATAATATAGGCTCGAGCTGGGCGATAAATATAATAAAATATATTTTCTAAATATTAGATAAGTTGAAACGGTACACATACTTGCTAATAACTTTAAAAACTTTAAAAAAATTGATATATTGCTAAATTAAATTAATTTTTATATTTTTAAAAGTAGAAATAATATAATTATAGTATAAACGAAGATATACAGAGTCGCCGGATACAAAAAATACAAAAAAATACTTAGTAATATATATCTTCTTTATTCTAATAGCAGCAAATTTTAATACTTTTTTAATATTAAAATAATATAAATAGTTTTATACGGTAGACCCGAAGACGATCGATATAAAAATATTAATAAAAGCAACTTTCTTAAAATATCTAAAATATTAAATAAGATTCGAAAATTTATTTATTATAATATTTATATATTTAAATATATTCAAATAAAACAATATCTGTCTTTTTATAAAATTTCAAAAAAACAACAACTTCGAACTTTGGTTTTTGGATTTATTATTTTTTAACAAAATATCTTAGAATTAATCGACTTCTTAAGATCTAAATATGGTATTTTAAAACTTAAATATATCGACTTCTTGAATAAAAGAACTAGCCTAAGAATATTTATTGAAATAAAAATAAGTAAAAATCGTCTTAATTAAGTTCTATAGTTAATATAAAAATATATTAAATATAAGATGGTAAGACGATTTCTTAGTTGCGGCAGACAAAAAAATTAATAATAATAATAATAAATAGAATAGTAACCAGCTAGGATTTCTGCTAGATAATCGTATATTTTATTATTATCTTAATAATTTAGATTATTTATTCTGACTAATTGTTTATTTAGAAATATACCGCGGTGGAGTAATACAACTTAATATAAAAATAAAAAAATAGTTTTTGCTCAAAAAATAATATAAAGCAGGTATTATAATTAAAAATAATAATAACTAGAATAGTCTAGTTATAGCTTTAGAAATACCGAATAACAGTAATATTCTATTTATCGGTTTTTATAGTTAAACAGCCAGAAATCATACTAATATACTTTATAAACTTATTAATAATAATAAGAATTTAATTGTTCCTGTTCTTAATAAAAAAATATAATAAAATTTATAGTTATAATATAAAATAGTTCGGTAATAAGAACTATTAATTGTAGAGTACTATACAAACGGTATTTATAAATATCATTATGAAAATATTAAGAATATCAGCTAATATAGTTACGTAGATATTTAGATATTTTATAAATAATAAGATTATACAATTCGAAGACATATTTTTTAAAGTCTTAATAAGATTTTTTATTATATATTATATAAAAGAATTCGGGTACAAGTATATATAGAATATATATTCAAAGTTTCTTAATAACAGCATAACTATTATTTATAATAGTATTTGTTTGTTTAAGGATTTTAATAAATATAGACGCGGAGTCGACAAATTTAATTATACTAATATTAAAATTATATAAGATATGCTTTATTATATAAAACAAACTATTTTTTATAATATAAAAAAAATCCGCGGTAGACTCGGATTTAAAAATATAAATAATTTCAGAAGCCCGAGAATCTTAGATATAACTGTTATAAATATATTACTTTAAATTCTTAGTAATCTTAATAGTATAGATCAAACAGATATTTATAAAAATATTTTTAAAATCATATTCTTTAAATATAGAAGTATATATTATATTCTTTTATAATAAATAAAATAATATATTTATAACAGTATTAATAATACCGGGACGGTAATATATAATTAAGCAGAATTACTAAATATATTAATTTATATAAATAAAATGAAAATTAAGATATTTAATAGTAATAATATTAAAAGTAACTTACTTTAATAAAGCAACTATATTAGAATAATCTATATAGATAATTAAAAAAATATTCGGATATACAGCTTAAATTATATATTAAAGTTTTTAAAGTATTTATATCAAGTATAAGATTTTTAATTTAATAGACTAGTAATTCTTTTCGGCAGATGTTAAGATACAGCTAAGAAAAAGAATTAGTTTAATATATATATAAAAAAATAATTTAAATATATTTTTATATTTATAATTGTCAATATAGTAGAGTATTGCTTTATAACTATTATAAAAAATATTAAGATCTAGGTAGACTTGCTTAAACAGAATAAAATAAGCAAATTTAAGAATATTATTAAAATTATTTTAAAATATTTTAAATATATAAAGTTTTTCTTCAGTAAGATTAAAAATTAAAATCTTATTAATATAGTCCTAGTAAGATTATTTAAGATATTTAGACAAGCAGTCGGAAATATAAATATTTATTTAATTATTTAATAAAAATACTTTAATAAATAATTAAATATAAAGTAATTAGATTTTTTATTTTTAAAAAGAAAGTACTTTACTAGTATAATAATTTATATAGTAGCAGAACTAACTAGTTATATTAAGATATCAGTCTAACTATATAAGTATCTTTAGAAATAATAATTTACAGATAATAATAATCTTATTTTCAAAAATTAATAAGCGCCTAATGTATTAATATATTATTTAAATAAAAAAACAGAGAAAAAATCAATATATATCTTAGTCGGTTTTAGCTTATTATTTAAATTTTAAAATTTACTAAAAACTAAAGATAAGTGTTCGAGATATTCTTTATATTTTTAAAATATAATAATATTATTATTAATATACGTCTTAGCAAATATATAAAATTTATATAGATTTAGATTTATTTAGTGTTAAAGAAATAACACTATCACGGTGCAGACCTAAAGCACCTATTCTACCTTCTATATTCTGTTTATCTTATTAACCCGTTTGATCTGTTTGACCCGTTTAATCTGTTCAACCTGTTTAACTAATTTCTTTCTAATAATCTAACCGCCCTGCATATAATCTATAATTTTTTTAATTTTTTATTAATTTTTAATTCTGTTTATAGCTCTTCGAGCTACGTCTTATTTATAAATCTAAAAATAATCTAATCTAGTAGCTAGTAAAGAATCCAGAGAACTATTATAAAAAATTAGCTAGTTAAAATTATTATTTCTATTACTTTATCTAATTAAAAACTAAATATCAGCCTGCTTCTTAATACTATATAGCTTTTATTTTTAGAAATAATAGTATTAATAAAATACTAGTAATCCTGTAATTCCCAGCTATACCAAGTAATCTAAGAAAGTTTGTCTAATATATTAAAAAATATTCTAAAAAATAATATAATTATTATAATAAACTATACTAGTATACTGTAAGTACTAAGACTGCGCTTAGTAATACTTAGTATACTATTACAGTAAAAAATATTCTATTTATCTACTAGACTAAATAGATTTAAAAGAAAGAATCCGATTTGAACCATTAGTTTATAAGAATAAATACTGCCCAAGAAATTACTTTTAAAAAAAAAAACCAAGCCTAGACTAAATATATAAAAATTATCTAGATTATCACCCCTACAGTAAGTACTTTTATATATATTCTAAAATTAGTCTTTATTACTAAGAATACCGCAGATACTTTAATAAAAGTAATTATATTAATTAATTTTAAATCTTTTATTTTTATTTTTTTTTTTAAATATTTATTTAATTCTAATAAGTTTAAAAATAATTATACTAACTTCCGCCGATTTATTTTTTAAATTAAAAAAAAAATAAATATAAATATTAATTAATATACTACTACTACTGTTCGAAAGTTATATATTACTAGCTAATTAAATAAAATACTATATACTTAAATATAATTTTATATTAAAAATAAAAAATATAATATAAATAATTTTATTAATATTCTGTTTTTATTTAAATATTTTTTTAGTAATCCTAACTACGCCCGGACTATATATAATAAACTTTCTCAATTTCAATAAAAATTCTATAAGTTTATAATATTTTTTACTAAATTTAAATATTTTATTTAAAAAATATATATATATTCCGATACTCTTCTTTCTATATTAAAAAATAATATTAATAAAAAATTTAAA